TCTAAAATCAATAGGTACGCTTAACACTGAAATCTGAATAGTCTGAATAATACCATCTAATTGGGACAAATCTACATAAATTCCCAATAGGTAACTGTTATTCAAACAAATCAATTGTAGATTCGACTAATCGATTGTATTAACAACTCGATTAGGAGGTAGAATCGATATCTATCTATAGAATGTACCGTCTCGCCTATCGTCTTATAACCTCGAAGGGGTATGTAGAGATGTACATTCGATACAATGCAACACCCATTTCGTTTTCATTTTAGTGGCCACATGAGCAACTGAAAACTTGTTTTTATTTATGCTTTATATGTTTATATGTTTGACTGCACGGTTGGTGCGGTGGCTGGGCAACCGGCTGCCGTGCAACGTGTCGCGGGTTCGATTCCCGCACGGAACAACACTTTGTGTGATCCACAAATTGTTGTTTCGGGTCTGGGTGTCATTGTGTATGTGAACTTGTATGTTTGTAAACGCACCCACGACACAGGAGAAAATCCTAGTGTGGGGCAACGTTTTTTTAAAAAAAAAAAAAAAAAAAAAAAATTTATAGACTTGCATTTTGTGTGAATAAAATTTCAGAAGCCGTAGCTATTTGAAATATAAAACCGCACGGCAAGTATTAATATAAACCGCGGAGGACTTAACGCCAAGGAGGACTTATCGCCGCGGAGGACTTAACGCCACGGAGGACTTATCGCCGCGGAGGACTTAACGCCACGGAGGACTTATCGCCGCGGAGGACTTAACGCCACGGAGGACTTAACGCCACGGAGGACTTATCGCCACGGAGGACTTAGTAAAAAAAGGTTGAATATGGTTGTCCAAGACACTTAAACACAACAGGCATCAGACCACCACGGATGAGGCACAATAGGGCTGATGCCGATTCGGAGCCGCAGAAGGCCTATCGGATTGCCGGGGCTCCGGCTCGACGGGCAGGAGGAAGAACGATGATTTTGAAAAGAAGGGTGGTTTTTAGTCAGAAAGAGTCTGACATTCCCTCCCGCCTCACCCAGGCGGGAGAAACCATTCGATGATTATCCCCCTTCAAAAAAATAAAAAAGACATTCTCGCTATCTGACCAAAGTCAATCTCCCAACACACGTTTACGAACACCGATTAGTCGATTTTCCCATTACAATTCCATAGTTCCCAATCCCAGCAGTGTTCTAAATCCCAACTGTATTCCCAGGGGTCCAGCGTTTGGCTTAATAGTAATTATGTCATGACTGTTGATTGCGGCCGGCCATAAATTATTACAGTCCATAAACTGTCATGGTGGATGTGGATATTCATTTAATTTGTGCGTCCAAGTGTGAACGGTTTCAATGATGACGCTGAAATAGGTGGTTTGGGATTTGTAATCTGTGCGTAAAGTGGGTTTTGGTGTGATTGCAGTTTAGTTTTTTTTTTTGACGGGGTAATATCTTCACTTGACTTCTCCCGCATTGGGTTAGGTGGGAGGGAGTGTCAGACTCTTACTGACTAAAAACCACCCCGTTCCTTCTCCTGCTCTTCGAGTTGGAGCCTCGGCAACCCGTTAGGCCCGTATATTGCCCGCCACTAATATCTAAAATGCGACGCCGCGTAGAATACGAATTTTAGAACGTAACAATTATTTTGCTTCAATTTCCCCCAAATAAAAATTGCATATGTTACTCGTTATTACAGCAGCTACCTGGTCCAGCCATTCCAGAGATTAGCCAGTACAAACATACAGACAGACAAATATTGTATGGTATGTGTATCGTATGCATATTCATATGCAAGTAGTTGAAAGCATTTTATTTATCTATATAGATTTAATAGCTCCGGTGACAAACATCATTTTGTTGCTACGGCGAATATGTCAGGCGCTCCAAAAGTACACTATATTGTACATCCATGTTAGTACTACCTAGGTACCTAAGCTTATATATAACACAATCCGTGATATTACTGAAAAGTTTTATATAGACCGAAAAACAATTTGTCCGAACGATTTGAACGCAAGATCCCTTGTTCTGTAGTTGCACTGGTGACCTCTCAGCAAAGAAGGTAGTCTTAGTCTTGTCTATTGAGTTAATCTTAATAGTAGCTCTATGGTAACATTATACTTATACCTACATCAGCCTACTGATCAAGCGTCAAGCAGTCACCGATGACCGCTTTCCACTAACTTCATTACAGACCTTATTTCCAATGTTTACAGACTACTTTTGTATGAACAATGTGATTTACATCAAGTGTATGTACCTCTACATACCCAAGAGTGTCGAACGACCTAAAAAAATATTATCTATTCAAAGTAAAACTATTTCGTCAGAACACATTCCATTTTTGAAAGCCTTCCACAGGTAACATAGAGAGCGAACTACAGAAAAAAAACTAATAAATTTTACGTAAGCCAAAAAGGATTCAAGGATATCCTTACGCAATTCGTGTACTTTTATCCAACAAGATAACAGTTGATATAAGGAAAGAAGCCGTTCTACCTTAGAATAACAATACGCGCAAAATATAGTACCCCCTTAAGATTTGTTCACGCGGAAAAAAGACTACTGCTTACTATTTCTTTGTAAGTGCGCATAACGAATCGATGGATATCTAGGGACCATTAAATGTACTGTGTGATTGGATTTTCGGATTTATATTTAAATATTTTAAGGCGTTTTAGTGCTACATGAAATTAACTATGTAAAGTAAACGCCTGATATTGGTAGGCGTTAGATTTAATGTCTCTGTTTTTAAGGACATATATTTTATTAATACGTAATTGTGCATTATAGTACAGGTTTTGTGTATGTGTATAGCACAGGTATGTCATAACAATCGTTACCATTTATGAAATAATTTTTGTTTTTTTTTTAATCTTTATTTATTTAGAGGCTTTTCCCTTACATGAAGTAAATTTGTAATAAACGCTAGATAAACCTAAATCGCACAGTAGTTTTTTATATTTGATGGGCTGACGTTTGACCACTATCTCGCCTGTTGGTAAGCGATGATGCAGTCTACGGTAGAGTACTACGTCGTCCCATAAGCAACCTATTTATGTAGCAACCTATTATGATTTGTAAAATTAAATATTAAACTTCTTACTCTTTATACAACAATGAAGCAACAATAAGAAAGAACTAAAAGCACATCAAAATCAGTGCAAAAGTTAATTTAAAACACTGCACAAAAAGTACAACAATCGAACCGCTCAGATTCTTTAAATCCACATTTCACTTCGGACTTCATTCTCATCGATAAAAGTTCAACACAATTTATTAAGCCGTTCCGACTACAGTAACTGTTTATCTTGATGATTTGTTGCCAATCCTTTCTCGATTAAAGTCAGCAGTCGAGTTTTTAATCGATTGAACAATTATAGGTATCGAATCGAATCGAGTTGCTATTGGTTATTTATTCGATTATTTTGTTTGTTTGATTTGATTGTCTTCTTTTCGGTGTAGAAGACTGCAGCTGGTCGGTTGTGTAGGTGAATGATTTATTTCTATTGTTAATTTAGTTGCAGTTTTTGGTAAGTAAGGCATAATACACTATTAATTGGTGTTCACAGATCCTCGTATTTTGGATACCTACATAAATTAGAAATGCCCCACCCACAATGATTTAAAATCACGACACCATATAAGGCATAGGCACAGAACTATTATAGACTTCTTCAAAAGTAAATGTAACGTACTTCCTATACCTACTTCATAGGTATGTAGTATATTTTATACTATATACAGGTATACCCATAGGTAGTTTTCTTTGGTTTCTTGGACATCATACAACATTTTATAGGTACTCCAGAAGATGTCGCGGAGAACCTAACGGGTTACCGGGGCTCCGGCTCGACGTGCAGGTGAAGGATCGGGGTGGTTTTTAGTCAGTAAGAATCTGACACTCCCTGCCGCCTCACCAAGGCGGGAGCAGTCATTCGATGACTTTCCCTCCTTAAAAAAAATACTCCAGAAGATAGACAGGGTTGGACAGTTGCACATAGACATCCAATTTTCTTCATGCTGTGAGTCTCAATAAGAGACGAGAATATTACAGACTCCGTGTTAGGTAGATACCTAAATTTCTTTCAAGTGTATTCTACTTAACTATTAGGTAGGTACTTATATTTTTTTAATTTCATCCTTAACCTTGTCGTACATGACAGTGACAGCGACACTATTCAGCGCTTTATCAAATAAAGATAATAAAGTAGGTAAGTAAACAACTACTTATTTCATTGAATGCCATTTTTAATTCTTTAAATCCCCAACTAACAGTTTCAGAAACGGCATTGACACAAAAGATTGTGTGTTATGTTTATGGGCCTGATGCAAGACAACATCAATCAAAATATTTAGATTTAAATGCTTGGGCCCTTGGCTTGGGCATAGCTTGCCTACCATACTATTATTCAAGAACAAAAATAATGCTAAACAAATACATGTACCTATAGGTACCTATAGCTAGTAAGTATCAATCCCTATTTCCTAATTCTTGTCAATCTCCATTGCAGATACAACAGATAATGCTATCGGTTACCACTATAATTTTTATCTCAATACCATGTTTTATATTTTATCTAACACCAATCTTACACCTTAGGTCCATACCTATTGCAAGTTCGGGTGATAGATATTTTGTTTGAATGACTAAAACTCGAGGTTAGCACCTATTTTATGTTTTTTAACATCGAATTAAATTTCCATTGCAAAAAATTCGAAATTAATTGCAAATGTAATATTTTACACACCTTTAATTTAATTTACTGATTTAATGAACGATACTTCAAAATTTTAAAAATGTACTTCTTTATGAACGCACCATAAAGCAAACGTTATGATTGGTCTATGCACAAGGCAGGAAATTACAACCAATCGTGGCTAACCAGCCATTTTCCTCAAACTGTCAAACGCAAATGTCAAACAATTCTGAAACAAATCTCAAGAATTTTGCGATAATTCTCACAAAAGTGTAAGAAATATTAGTCAAATTCTAATTTACAATGTCGGAAAATGGGCACGATGCGTAAGAAAACTCAAGTGTCGTTCGTGATCAGAGACGAGGAGGAACGGCGGCATAAAAATGGTGTTAGTTCACTGCAACTTGATCCAATACAGGGAAGACTGTATTCGGCCGGCAGGGATGGTATTATTCGTGTGTGGAGTACTGCGAATGGAGTCCAAGACCGGTACATCCAGAGTATGGAGCACCATACCGATTGGGTGAACGATATAGTGTTATGTTGCGGCGGAAAAAACTTAATTAGCGCATCGTCGGATACGACTGTAAAGGTATGGAATGCCCCTAAAGGCTTTTGTATGTCGACGTTACGAACTCATAAGGACTATGTACGAACTTTAGCGTACGCTAAGGACAAGGAACAGGTCGCCAGCGCGGGACTGGACAGAGCAATCTTCCTTTGGGATGTGAACACATTGACAGCTTTAACGGCCAGTAATAATACGGTAACAACATCAAGTCTTGTTGGCAACAAGGAGTCCATATACAGTTTGGCTATGAATCCTCCTGGGACTATCCTAGTGAGTGGTTCTACAGAGAAAGTACTTCGTGTGTGGGACCCTAGAAACTGTTCAAGACTAATGAAGTTAAAAGGACATGCTGACAATGTTAAAGCTTTAGTTGTGAGTAGGGATGGCACACAGTGTGTATCAGGCAGTTCTGACGGTACAATAAAATTGTGGTCTTTATCACAGCAACGGTGTGTGTCTACTATAAGAGTGCATTCTGAAGCTGTATGGGCCTTGTTAGCTACCGAAACCTTCTCGCACATCATATCTGGTGGACGAGATAGGCTAGTCATTATAACAGAGTTACGAAACCCTGATAATTTTATGATAGTATGTGAAGAAACTGCCCCTATACTTAAACTATGCTTTACTGCGGACCAGAGTGGAGTTTGGGTGTCAACGTCCGAATCTGATGTCCGTTGCTGGAAACTGCCCCCACTAAATTCTTTAGACATGTATAATCAAAATAATTATAATACTAACAATGTGTACCAAACACAGCCTTTACACAACATTCCTGGTGGACCTGCAATCAAACATTATACAGTATTAAATGACAAAAGACATGTGGTAACGAAAGATACCGCAAACAACGTAGCTTTATATGATGTGCTTAAGGCTTGTAAAATAGAAGATTTAGGAGAAGTAGATTATGATGAGGAAGTGAAGAAACGATTCAAGATGGTTTACGTTCCGAATTGGTTCAACGTTGACTTGAAGACAGGAATGTTGACAATACATTTAGGTCAGGATGAGACCGATTGTTTAAGTGCTTGGGTTAGTGCAAAAGAAGCTGGGTTAACTACGGAGAATGATCAGAAGGTGAATTTCGGAGCTCTATTGCTGCAGGCCCTCTTGGATCATTGGAATCATCCGAATAGAGTGAATGAGGCAGGACAGAGAGTGATTGGGAACAATTACTTTAGTGTACCGCAACACACTCCGCTTATATTTAGCGAAGTTGGTGGACGGACTCTGTATAGATTGCAAGTAAGTGTAATTTGTCATCATTGTAATCATAAGACATCCACGGCCGAATATAGACTGACCTTAATGGCTACCAGATTGGCTGGTCTGGTACCATTAATGATTTATTTAATTTGTTTTATTTACACAGTCATTACGTCTAATGATAATATAATTAGATATTGCTTTGTCTATTATTCATTATTCGTTCTTATCAGTCAATAAACAAAATGTTGAAAAATCAAATAAAGTTAGTAATTCGACAGAATCTTTTTTTTTTTTTTTTTTTTTTTTTTTCTATTTTATATCCCGCAACACCGCAATCTGTTTATAAAACATTTAGCCGCTTTCTTGGCTGACTCATTGTCTGAGTGTGGCATATTGCATTGAAGAGAAGTATCCAATGAATTTCCCTTCCTACTAGCTGTTGAATCGGTCTATGAGGTTAGGTACACTGCTCCTCTTCAGTCTTGCAAATTGGATACTTCCAGATCCCGATAACTTAGAAGCAAGGGCATTGACATGCTTAGATAGCTTTTTCTGATAGTTTGAGCCTCTCTGAGAAATTTCTTCTCTAACAGTTTTTAGCCTTAGGTCTTGTAAAATGTATTTGTTGCTAATGCTTTTGGGTATATTGTACATGCATCTCATTGCCTTCATTTGGAACCTTTCCAGAATTTCTATATTGCTGGTACTTGCAGTTCCCCAGAGCTCAATACCGTATGCCCAGATCGGTTTCAGGATAGCCTTGTATACTGCCATTTTACTTTCATTCGATAGTTTTGAGTTTTTACCGATCAACCAGTACATATTTCGAAGAGTTGTGTCGAGCTGTTTTCTTTTGGTCCAGATGTGTTTCCTCCAAGTTAATCTTCTGTCGAGATGCATGCCAAGATATTTAGCAGTTTCGTCTTGCGGTATTTGTTCGCCATTAAGTAGAACAGGAGGGCAGTTTCCTTTTCTTAAGGTAAAAGTGACATGGACTGACTTGGTTTGATTAGCCTTTATTCTCCATTGTTTCAGCCATGTTTCAACTTCATTAAGGTGATTTTGCAGGGTTTCCGAAGCGATATCTGGATCCTTATCCACTGCCAGAATTGCAGTGTCATCCGCATAGGTGGCCATGGTGGTATGTGCGTGAGTGGGTACATCTGCAGTAAACAAAAGATACAAAACAGGCCCTAGTATGCTGCCCTGTGGGACTCCTGATTGTATTTCGTACAATTCTGATGTCTCACCGTTGAATTTGACTTCATAACATCTTTTGCTTAGGTAACTCTCAAGTATTGGAAAAAAGGAGTGTGGCAGAGACTTCTTGATTTTGTACAGTAGACCCTCTTGCCAGACCTTGTCAAAGGCCTGACTAATATCCAGGAATGCAGCCGAACAATATTGCTTGGTTTCAATTGTATGACCGATAGTATCTGCCAATCTGTGTACTTGCTCGACGGTACCATGGCTATGTCGAAAACCAAATTGATGTTCTGGAAGTACTCTATCTAGGTGTGGATTGAGACGATTGATGATAATCCTTTCAAAGATCTTACTGAGAAGAGGGAGAAGACTAATTGGTCGGTATGACGACACTTCCTCTACAGGTTTGTTTGCCATTTAGGGATCATAACAACTTGAGCAATCTTCCACTGGCTTGGATAATATGAGAGCCTCAGGCAGGCATTAAAAATGTTTACTAAGTAGATTATTCCTTTTCTCGGCAGGTTTTTCATCAGCGTGGAGTCGATAAGGTCATATCCAGGGGCTTTTCCAGATTTCAGAGCCATAATCATCTTATCTATCTCTTTAGGACTTACTGGTTTAATAGGTGCACAAAGCTGGTAAGGAGATTTCAAGCAGGTTATAATTTCTTTATCAGCCTCTGGGTTATTACTGGGGAAAGGTTTGAAGACACTCTGGAGATATTCAGCAAATACTGTTGCTTTTTCTAGATCGGATCTAGCCCAGTTCCTGTCCTGTTTCCTTAATGGTGGAACATGGATATCCGGTCGTTTCAATTTCTTTGTTGCGCACCAAAGTGAATACTTGGTGTCTTTATGGGGAGTTAAGTGGGCCAATTTACTCTGCACTGTGTGATTCTCCAGATCTTTGATAAGTATCTTTATTTCTTCTGTAATTTTATTAAACTTGGTTTTATCTGAGGGATACCTTGTTTGTTGCCATTCTTTCCTCAATTTTCGCCGTTCTTGGACTTTGTCTCTTATTAGTTTGGGGTAGTTTTTCAGTTTTAATTTAGGGTTTTTTTGTGTAGGTGTAGTTAGACAGGCGGCAGTAAGAATAGCTGTATTGAATTTTTGAATGCTTATTTCTAGGCTTACTCCGCTTATATTTAGCGAAGTTGGTGGACGGACTCTGTATAGATTGCAAGTAAGTGTAATTTGTCATCATTGTAATCATAAGACATCCACGGCCGAATATAGACTGACCTTAATGGCTACCAGATTGGCTGGTCTGGTACCATTAATGATTTATTTAATTTGTTTTATTTACACAGTCATTACGTCTAATGATAATATAATTAGATATTGCTTTGTCTATTATTCATTATTCGTTCTTATCAGTCAATAAACAAAATGTTGAAAAATCAAATAAAGTTAGTAATTCGACAGAATCTATTGACTAAGTTGTTTCTTCATCACTACATAGTATAAAACAAAGTCGCTATCCGCCGTCTGTCTGTCCCTATGTATGCTTAGATCTTTAAAACTACGCAACGGATTTTGATGCGGTTTTTTTATAGATAGGATGATTCTTAACATAGGTTTATATGTATAATACATGCATATTGCACCCGTGCTAAGCCGGGGCGGGTCGCTAGTACCATATAATAGTATCAGCTGATACAATACCACTACTTCTAATGCACATGGCTATTGAAAAGAACATGTAGTATTTTTGTGTGACATAAAAATTGAATAACATTAATGAATTTTGAAATCACAGAACAAAAGCGTTTACTTCTTTCAATGTCTTTATATCTATAAAGCCAAACTTAATACCATTTACCTAGTTCATTCATTATCCACGCAATACGGATGCAATGGGCGCTAGTGTTCCAACTCGAGAGTACGAAATTTCACAATACCAATGTCGATTGATCGGAATTGGATTCAAGAGTAAGCCCTAAGTTCTGGAAAATGACCATATCACAATGAACGGGGACTGGTCTGTCATCAATGAGAAAGATAAACAAATAAAATATCTAGATCTTTTAAGTCTAGACTTAGCTCACGAGGTTGTCGACATGTGGAGTGCGGATTCGGCTATCATTGTGCCGATAGTCGTGTCGGCCAATGAGTTAATCCCTAAAAGCCTCGACATCCATCTCAGGAGGCTGGCGTTAAGTGGATGGAACAAGGGACTGATACAGAACAGCTTGGACCATGCTCCCGCTACTGGTCGGCTCCAGATTTTTATATTTTTAAATATTATTTTTTTATTTTGCAAATAGTATTTAAAAATTTAATTTGAGAGAGTTTTAAATAAACTCAAAGTCTTTATTTGCATGTTAAGGTATAAATATATACAAATAAAATAATAATTGTCCTGGAAGATTTTTAATGTTTTAGAAATAAATTATTACCCTCTATTTCCCATGATTTCCAGGTTGGTGATGCGGGTGGAGAAACCGAAGGTAACCTTTTAGTGGAGACGGTACCATCCTGGGTGGTGGATGTGGCAATAGAGATGGCGGCTCCCAAACTGAACAAACTGCCTTTCTATTTGTTACCACATTCCAGCTGCCAGAGCAAACAAGATCGGCAAAAGAAGGTAGAAGTTTGTTTCATTTTATAAATAATCATCACGCTTTTAATCCCCGAAGAAGTAGGCCGAGGTGCACATTACGGTACTTAATGCCACTGTATAATGTAACACCCAATTTTCACTATTTCTGTTATGAGTCCCATGTAATAGATCTTAGATAGTCTCACCCGCCTATTGTCAGATATCGGACAGAATTTCAAACTCTGTGCTACTACTGAGATTTTATTAAATCCCAGCTGTTCTTTACCCGAACTGGGAATCGAACCTGAGACCCCTTACCCGGCAGTCGCACTTGCGATCATTTTATTTGTGACACTGGCCACACTAAAATAACTATTCAATTCGAACGAGTAGATCCAAATAATTTGATATTTACCTGGGTCAAAAATAAATTATTTTGATTTTTCAATCTAATTAAATATTCAAAAAAATTACAATTTCATTCATATATTTGACGATATACTTGATTTTCGATATATTCTAGCTATTTTTTTAGAAATAAGTGTGCTATTTGACTCGAAAATATGATGACGTCATAAGTTAGTTTTTGGTACAAAATTCATAGAACAATATCGTTTTTGACGTTTGGATAAAAGTATTGAATTTGATTAGTTGTAAAATACCGTATTAGCACGAGTCAAACAAACAAACTTCAGCTGTATAATATTGTAGTATGGATTGCGTAGTCATCTAAGAAGGCAGTATCACATTAATTTTTCGAACATGGTCAACTACTTTTTTGTTATTCTTCACTATCACTACATAGTATAAAACAAAGTCGCTATCTGCCGTCTGTCTGCCCCTATGTATGCTTAAATCTTTAAAACTACACAACGGATTTTGATGTCGTTTTTTTTTAAAGATGCAGTGATTCTTCAGGAATGTTTATATGTATAATATAGTAGAGAAACACTGATAAATTTAGAAGTTTCTAATTGTACCCGTGCGAAGCCGGGGCGGGTCGCTAGTTTTTTATATACATTGCCCCACACTCGGATTTTCTCCTGTATCGTGGGTGCATTTACAAACATGCAATTGCACATACACATGACTTTCTTTAATTTAGAACCACTTTCAAACTAGAACCAGAGTTTGCCAGAGCTCATAATCGCATAACAGCATCATTCCATGCCATTCCATAAATAGTACGACTATTTATATGATCAGTAATAAACTATTTTAATACATTACAGGACCGCCTAGTAGCAAATGACTTTATACAATGCCGTAAGGTGGCTGAGCATGTGGTTGAGAAGATAGTCGGAGGTGGTGACGTGAACGGTGCGAGCGCCGGCAGTGGTCGCGCCAGCGCCAATGAGGATAGTGGCAACGACGCACCGGAGGAACGCGTCGAGTTACTGTGTTGTGATCAGGTAAGCAAGTGTATACCAAAACAAAGTGTCCCTATATGGATTTTTTTTAACCCATACATCCCCAAGCGGTCACCGGTGACCGCTCTCTACTAACTACATTATAGACCTTATTTCCAATGTTTTGAGACTACTTTTGTATGAACAAATTTAGGGAATGAATTTCAACGGGTAAGGGGGAAAATACCTTATTACACAATAGGCTCACCCCCTATTACACAATAGGCTCACCCCCTGTTACATGGGACTCATAACATAAATAGCGAAAGGTGGGTGTTACATTGTAACGTGCACCTCTGCCTACCCCTACGGGGATAAAAGGCGTGATGTTATGTATGTAAGGGGGAAAATCACCGAATGTCTTTTCCCGCCTGGGTGAGGCGGTAGGGAGTGTCGAGACTCTTACTGACTAAAAACCACCCCGTTCCTTCTCCTGCACGTCGAGCCGGAGCCCCGGTTACCCGTTAGGTTCTCCGCGACTCTTCCTATAAGTATATGTCTTCCTTTCTAGTTAATTTATTTATTGCACAATGTATGTACATATTTAGAGGTATATTGCATACTACTAGTAACTAAAGTACATGTCCCTGTTAGGGCGTAGCAATTTAACTTATACATAACTAAATAATCATCTAGTCTATTAGGTGCATATTGTATTAATTATTAACTTAACCCTTTGAGTACCGTCATTATAGACTCAATTAAAGAACAATTATAGGTTGCGGTCACCGGTGTCCTTGCGGTGTTTGAAAGTTTAATTACTAAACATAAACTTATTATTATTTAATTTTTATCACTTCTATATATTATCAATTATACATTTTATATATAATACAGTTACGAAACACTAGGCCTAAAAAGGGCTTAAAATTGTCATAGAATTTCAACCCTGTATCGAGAGATGTTTTTTACTTACTTCAAATAAAAACTATGATTGTACGAACCCCAGATACTATGTACAAGTATAAAAAACCTACTTTTACATAAAACTAAAAACTAGTAGTTATCATAACAAAATACCAATAACATGGCTTTAGTCAATCCAGCTCATCTTATCTTGTTCTGCGTCTGTGTGTGATTATGTTCTTGAATTTATTGTGTTTTTAAACATCATGACATGGGATGATCTCATACAGGCGTAACGATACGAACATATGTATGTAAATCACTACCACAGAACAAGAGAAACTCCTACTAAGCCATGTTTATAAGAAAATATTATATTTATAGGCAGTTCCCCGCCTGCATCAGGATCGGCCAATGCGTGGGTATTTGGGCATATAATAAGATAAAACACGGAGTCATAATCATCACTAATTCAAATCTAACTTTATGAAAAATTATAAGATTGCACGGAACTTTGACGGTTCGTCGGAGATGTCTCGCGCACGCCATTCATAACCGTCGTCTGGTTCAAAAATATTGCGGCGCTGTTGTCGACATGACGCTCCGTCAGAATGACTTCTGTGGCTAGATGTCATCCTAGTTCCAAAACAAATAATAGACGGCGCTGTGGCTACGCCGTCATATTAATACAAGTTTGTTTAAATTTATTTCCAGGTGCTGGACCCCAACATGGACCTCAGAACAGTCCGTCACTTCATATGGAAATCAAATGTAGAGTTCACACTACACTACAGAGTTCTAAAACAATGAAACCAACCTATCTATTCAGATCAGTTCAGGAAATACTGCACTTTCCATTGCATGTTTAGACAGTGATAAAGTGTTTATAGTGATATCAGAAAATAAAGTGCTAAAAGTACCATTATCCTGAAAAAATAGTGTTAAAAATACCGTAATTCAGAAAAAATAGTATAAAAGTACTATTATCCAGCAAAAATAGTGGTTGAAGTAAAATCATCCAGAAAAAAATTGTGTTTAAAGTACCATTGTCCAGCAAAATTAGTGTTAAAAGTACCATTATCCAGAAAATAATGTGTTTAAAGTACCATTACCCAAAAAATGTGTTTAAAGTACCGTTGTCCAGCAAAATTAGTGTTAAAGCTACCGTTAGCCAGAAAAATAAGTGTTAAACATACTGCTACTAGTGAAGTTCTTCTTTTAATTTTTTCGGTGTTTTTCAAAGTGTCTTATGAGTTATCTGTGCTTCATTCAATGTGAGTGAGAAGGAAGATGGTTAAAATTATACAAGAGGGAAAGAGTGCGATGTTTGCGGAGTTTTCCTTGCCGTTATTTTTCTTTGTGGGTTTTTCTAGCTTCTGTTAATAAAGTACTGTTGTAATTAGGATGTTTTGGTAGTCAAACATATTTTCTTTATTTTTCGACTCTGCCGTACATTAAAATACAAGGTGTGGTTTTAAAGCCGCGTCATTTTCTAGGAGGTAACTCGGCTATCGATTCTGAGTCCAAATCAATAAAAAAATGGTAGGTATTTTTTTTAATTTTTCTGTAAATTACGCAAATCCGCCAGTGTGAACTACACGCCGCCGTCTTGTAACTATCTTTATAACGCGGCATAACACACACAAACTCAAAAACGTAATTAATATTATTCCTAATTCCATAAAACTCGCTTTTTCTGAAATACTGTCCAACTTAAACGATTTATTATATTATTTATTAAGCCGTATTTTTAACTATTGTTCCGAAATTTTCTCTTACATTGAACCTTTATGACTTCTGTGACATGCCCCCGAGAAATGACACGGCTTCAAAACTACACCTTGTATAAAAAAAACCATTTTCATTTATTTACTTTTATGGTCTACCTACTTAGGTTTTTTCTCTCTAAAGCATTTCGAACTATTGAATTTGACTCTAAAACATCCCTAAAGCTTATTAGAGTGATAAGGACGGAAGATAATGTATGTGTGAGAAGGAACGAGCTAATGTTAAAGAAAAAAAACAGTGTCAAAGTTATCATTCAATAATCATCTGTATTGACTTGTGTTAATGTTTACAATGTATTGTGTTAAGTAATAGATGCAAAAATGACTCTTATTGCCATAGAATAAAGATTCTATTATAAAACTGTTTCACTAGAAATTTACAACGAATAACTTATCTTACTTGCAATTAATTCTATATTAGGTACCCATAATATTGAAGGCATTATTGTGACTCTAAATTTCTTAATGCTTTTGTAAAAGTAACTACAAAAATAGAGATTTTTTTAAGTGTTAAAAATATCAAAGATAATGACCATTTTTCTCCAATGTTTATAATTTAAAAATATTGAACACGTATTTTTTTACAAGAACTATCGTGAGATATATTAAATTAACTGAAAATCGCGGGTTACTCATGTGAATATAGTGAGAAAAGCTCGAACAGTTTAGTAGGTTGCGCGACATTGCCGCGACTGCGCACGCTGCTCATGAGGAAGAACCCCTCTGTGGTTCGAAACTAGTAGAGCTTTTCTCAGCATATTCACGTGAGTAACCCGCGATTTTAGTTAACGTATTTTTTTAAAATTAATGTGTACGGTATAATGATTTGAAATGTCGCACAGTCTTGATGTCACGTCTTGGTACGTTTTCGCATGCTACTTCTGAATTTTATTCAATTATCTCCATATTTTATTCTTATTATGTAACTATTACGAAAAATACTTATTTCTGATATTTTTCATCTAATTATTCAGCAATTAAATTGGTAGATGTCTAATTTCTTTCTTTTACATTTGTTAAGAGATGCCTAATTCTTAAAATGACCTAAAATTATTTGTCGAATATTGTATCAATACATGTAGAAAAGAAAAAGGCAATATAAAGCTTAAAAGTAACTTTTGAAGGACTTGTTGAAATGTTATCTTCATTTTGCTGTTAAATTTCAAATCCTGTGCTACAATTGGTTCATTGTAAAAACTATAGATTAAAAATGTTATAATTATATCCAATATTTAAAATATGAAATATAGAATAGTATAAACAAAAATTTGTTCCTCATTACAGTTAACCCAATTAAAAATAATAATCTGTGTTTTAATAGCATGTTCTCATTGGCCTAGTACTTAGTCTTTTGTAACATAAGTGGCCAATTAGAACGCGGTATTTGACTTGTCACATTTGGCGGGTAACGCTATATATTTAATTCAAAAGAAAATGGCGGCTTTGATTTCAAAAATAATACTTATTACAGCCAGTATCACAGTCATTATTCATCAGATACGATTATCGGGGACCTGGAGTGTAAAACTGGCTTTATAATGTAAACTTAAAAGAAGGCTTTAAAGTTTAAAATACAATAATCAGGTTAATAATAAAATAATAAAAAGCTGTTTATTTCTCATAAAATACAGTTTTATACAAATCTTAACTTAATCTTAAACTTAAGTAGAAAAGATTGTACAGTTAAGGAGTTGCTATTTCATTACAATTCATTAAATGTCGCTTGAATATGTTATAGGTCTGCCTTTTATTTTTGTTTTCCAGTTTACAAATTATGTGTTTTGGCAACTTGTTTAGTATTCGGGCAAGACTGACATTCCATACTCTCTCACCATAATCGTTATGACATTTTGGTATTTCAAAGGTAGGGAGATAGTCTAGTTTACGTAATGTGTTTAATCTTTTTGTTGTATTCAATTTACACATGTCACTACTGTACTGAGTTACAATTGCTAAATCTCTCTTATCAAATATACTCAAAACCTTGCAATAATGAAACAAGTTGTGATAGTTATCTTTGTTCTTGAATTTAACTTTTAGAGGAACAATTGTTTTTAAAATTCTAATTTGCAAATTATATATATCATTTAGATATGTTTTATACGTTCTTCCATAGCTAGTTAAGCCTGTAATTGCGGTTGATAAGTAACTTGTAAAATAATCAAATTAAATGCCCACTATAAATAATAATTACTTAAAAATATTATCACATATACTAAGCAATAAAATGTTCAACTGAAATGTGCTAAGATAATACGTATATTTACCATAAATAAATATTTTGCCACAGACTAAATAGGTGCAGTGGAGTGTTCATCAAGTCCATATAGGTATTATGTAGATTAAACAGGTAAATAAAGTGTATCCTTTATTACTGATTAGCTGATAAAAATATGTTAATCATCAGGAATTTAATTAATGAAGCTAGGTTTTAAAGTAAATAATGATGTCTCCTCTTCAAAGAGGTGTTGATGCAACCAGATATTGCCGAAAAATACTAAACTAAAATACCTATAAATGTTTTTTTTTATAATAACTATCGTGAGACATACTAAATTAATTTAAAATCGCGGGTTACTCACGTGAATATACTGAGCTCTTCTGCCTTCGAGCCACAGAAGGGCTCCTCTTCATGAATAAGCTACGCGACATCGCCGCGACCGCGCACACTGCTAGTAGAGCTTTTCTCAGTACATTCACGTGAGTATCCCGCGATTTTTAGTTAATTTTAACAAATTTATTATACTACAAAACATTAATTGGAGGTGGACATCATTAGCTTTTAATTTTATTATTCTTTCAAACATTATTACTTAATTAAAACATTTAGAAAAAATAATATGAAGTAGGTAACTACCATACATATACCTAATAAAATATTTCTATGGTAACTACTGTCAATGTATCTTACTATTACCAATCACGCCCTAAATAATGGGGAATACCTAATTACATTTCTGCCCCTTTATACCCTATTGGTAATTGAAAGAACATTAGAACAAATATCAGTTCTCTTTACTTGTTTTACTATATTTTAATTTAAGTAATTCTTATGTAACCTTTACCATTTCAATCTGAATTTTAATTTTTGATGTAGCAGTCTCTGTACCTACTTCTTGACTGTATTTTTTCACATTATGATAGGAAAACTGCATGAAATGGATCGTAGCTACTAAATAGTCTTCAGAAAATAGGTTTTAGGGCCGTTTTCCTGTCACGCGTATTTTAGTCCGCACGCGGGTCTGGTCCGCATGCGGGTGATAGCACGCTCCGGGCTAGACGCAGGACAAAGATTTCATTTGTTGCTGCAGTATTGTGCATGTCGCCAGTTTTTTTTTAAACATTGCCCCACTTTAGGATTTACTCCTGCGTCGTGGGTGCGTTTACAAACATACAAGTTCACATACACAACACACCCAGACCCGAAACAACAATTTGTGGATCACACAAAGTGTTGTTCCATGCGGGAATCGAACCCGTGACACGATGCACGGCAGCCGGTTGCCCAGCCACCGCACCAACCGTGCAGTCAAACAGTAACATAAACGTTAAAAAAATAATTATCTCTTATACCTGTATCATTTTAATTTAAGCTTCGTGCACAAATTGTACATTATTTGGACTTAATGCTACAAACATTTTCGAAAAATAAATATAAAAATCAATTCTAAGTAGATTCATGTCAATTTTCATTTTTGTTTTCGATTATATGCGGAATATAAGCTTGCGTACAAACCGCTTCAGAGTAAAAACAACACTGAAGGCAGAAGACTACCGCTCGCATCCGGATAACGCGGACGCGGCCTGCGTGCTCGCAGCCAAACCGCGTACAGCGTGCTGCGTGCCCGCAGCTACTTCGAATTCCGCTCGCTTGCTACCCGCATGTTAGGAAAAACATATATCAAACGATAGGATGCCGGCAGTCCGCATGGAGGCGTTACCCGCGTGCGGGTTAAAATACGCGTGACAGAAAAGGGGCCTTTATTTGACGACATTATTGTCACAATACAAGTTGATTACGCG